AAATTTTTTCCCATGCCTGCTCGTCCCTCTCTGAAGCTATATATGTATGATGGTAAGACTTCCTTGCAAATACATAATACACAATTTTCTACAGTGGCGGATGTGAATGGATGGGATTCTCAAGCTAACACCAGTCATCTCACTGCTTCTCTCAGCGCAGATGTGAAGATATTCTTCAAACTCTTCCAGAAAACCAGAGACCTATACGTCGAAGCTATATTCAGCCCATTAGAGAGAAGTGTTTAAAAGTTTACAGCATGCTTCAATTAAATTCCCGTCAGCAGAAGCCCACGGAAACACTCCAGGAACTTGCTACTGATGTCGAAAGGCTGTCTCCATCTCACCTTTTCGGAATGTCCGACAGAAACAATAGAAATCCTTTCCTTGCAGTACTTCATCAACGCCATTTGGGATCCTGAAATACTGAAGGCTCTATGAATGACAGATATCAAGGACTTAAAAAGTACCCCAGTGTACACCATGAAATTCGAGACAGCCCAGCATGCAACTTGCAGAGACCGGCATGCAATCAGAACTGCTCAAGTCCATGAGCCAGTGAATCAACTGATGGTTCGTTTAGATGATTTATCCAAACAAGTCAATGCTTGGATATGGAACAGGAGAGAGGACAAACTCTAAAGTGTTGGAAATGTGGTACTGAAGGCCACATACGATGGAACTGCAGAGCACTGCAGGGAATGGAAAATAAAACAGATGATCTAACCAGACAAGTCACTGCCTTGAGATGGAATAGAAGTGACAAGAAACAAACCCTAAAGTGCTGGAACTGTGGTGTTTACAGAACACCCCAGGTCATGGAAAATAAGACTATTCTGCACTGAGGACACAAGAAACAAATTAGTGGCCATCTCGGGAAGAGGAGTTTGAAGTATAATGAGAAGCCCCATTTTAAGGCACTTCAGGTTTCTGCAATGAGTGGCTGCAATAACAGACTTTTCATCATGGGACATATCAATGAAGTTCGTCGCAATATGGTGACTGATACAGGAGCGAATGTAACCATCATTCAGAAAGATTTAGCCCAACAGTTTAAATATGAACTCATTTTAGACCCCATCCTTTGTTTGTCAGACTGTGCCTGGTGACAGAATCAATATACAGTGGTGGCCAAAAGGACACTTTTGGAAATTTTTACGTTTTTGAACTTTGTATGCTTATACAAAATGTTACGTTTCGCAAAATGCAAACTTGTATATATCATTTTAAAGAGTATTTATTACTGAATTCAATACAAAACACAAAATTCAATTATTTGCATTACAAAAAAGTTATATGTACTTTAATATAAAAAAAAACACAGTTATGAAGTGGTTTGTAATGTCTAGCTTTCTGGCTAATCACTGTTCTGTTTCTGAGACCAATCAAATGTTAGTAACTGCCAGTAGAAGCTGACATCATGTTTACACTTGAAACAATTCATTATTTGCTTTGTTCTGTAGAAGGAGGACCTTTCTTATACACTGCAATTATAAGTAGGAATTTTTCGTAAAAATTTTTAATATTTAGTAAAGAAGCAATGACATGAAATAAAAAGAGTGGATTGGACACCTAGAAAGAGATGTATATTATGTGTTACGAGAAAGTGGTCTTTCCTAGCTGAAATTGCAAGACAGGTGGGTGGTTCAGTGACTACATCTGGAGTCCGAAAGTTTTGTTTACGATATCAGGAGACAAATTCAATAAAAAACAAAGAAGGAAAAGGCTGCTGAAAAGGTGCACTACATCGATTGATGACAGAAGATAAAAGACTATGTCTCCAAGATAGAAAATGTCAACAGCGCCATCAGAAGTGATCTGAATGATGCTGGTGTTTCTGTCAGTTCAAGAACAATCAGGAGGAGATTAACAGATGTTGGACTGAGAGGTAAAATTCCACGAAAAAAGCCTTAATTTTCAGCAACGAAAAAAAGACTACAGTGGGCAAAGAAACACATTAATTGGACAGATGATCAGTGGTCACAAGTTATATGGAGTGATGAAACTAAGATATAGTTATTCGGTAGTGATGGGAAAAAAATATGGAAGACGTAGAATAGGAGAAGAGCTACATCCTGACTGCATTCAAGCAACTGTGAAGAACCCAGTTAGTGTTATGATTTGGTCATGCATGTCAGCAGGGTATTGGTCGCCTTCATGTCATCGATGGGACACTGAATGCCAGAAAATACATTGACACTATTCTAGAACCAAAACTTCTACCTTCCCTCAGAGATCTCTTTCCCAACAATGCTTCGTTTATTTTTCAGCAGAATTCTGCTCCTTGCCACATGACCAAAATATAGAAAGATTGGTTTCATACAAAGAGCATTAATTTGTTGTTATGGCCAGGAAACAGTCCTGATCTCAATCCTATTGAAAATTTGTGGCACCGTTTGAAAACTCTTGTCTGAATGAGGCGCCCATCAAATAAAAGGGAACAATGTAGGAGCCCCTTTTAAAAATATCGCCTTTGACATCCTGGGACCTCTGCCATGACCTGCTGATGGTAAGAAATACATCCTCATTATCACAGATTACTTCACCAACTGGATTAAAGTGTACCTTATTCTTGACCAAGAGGCTGCCACGGTAGCAGAGGATAGCAACATTGGATTTCCTGCTTCAGAGTGGTTCTTTAGCTACACTCCGATCAAAAAAAAATTTTGCATCACCTGTAATTAAAGAACTGCAAGCTACTCAGCACTGACAAAACCCAAATGACACCTTTACATCCCCAGTCAGACAGCATGGTGGAGAAGTTCTAGTCGAGCCATCCTTAATAGCCTCTCGTTAGTAGTTTTTGGAAACCAATAGTACTGGGACAAGAAATTACCTCTATTTTTACTGGCTTACTGCAGTGCTGTCCACAAAACTACCGGCAATTTCCCATCTCAGATGCTCTTTGGTCATGATCTTCAGCTGCCTTGTCATATTTTATTTTGTTATCGTCCAGATGTGCCTTCACCACCTGAGAAGTACATCCAAGATCTAGAGGCACAGTTTGAAGTGATGCACAATTTTGCACAAGAGGGAGTCAACTTAGCAATGGAGAAGATGGAGACCTGATACGACACGGCAGCTACAGGATATCGATTCAACAAAGGAGACAAGGTGTATTTGTGGAATTTGATTCAACGGAAAGGACTCCCTCCTAAATTACAGTCATCTTGGGAAGGTCTTTACACAATCCTAAACAGGACTGTGTGTGGAATCCGAAAGCTAAGTCTCTGAAAGCTAAGTCTCTGAATGCTAAGTCTCCGAATGCTAAGCCCAAAGTTGTTCATTACGACAGGCTAGCTTCTTAATATGGCCTTTGTCGTAGTGTATATAATGTAAATAGTATAAAACCATAGAGTCCCCCCCTTTTTTTCTAAATTTGTAAATTTGTGCACTCATTTATTATTTTATTTGTTTTATGTTACTTATTGCTTCTGTTGTTTGTTATTGTACAGTAATGTTTATTATTGCATTGATGGTTAAATTGCAAGTCTGGCTTCCTGTCCCAGGGATTGTACTGCTCGGGACATGCAGTCCTTGGGAAGGGGCAGTGTTATGAATTTTCTATTAAGATAGCTAATTTTATAAGAATTATAATTAAAATTGTTGTATTTCCCTGTACAATGGAGCATGAGACAAATTTTAAGAGAAAGCTATGCTGGAAAAGTAAATATACATGAGCACATACATTTTACATTGAATAAATGGATATTTCGATAATTTGTATCAAAATTGAAAAAATACAATTGGCCACTATGTTAGCTGTAACTGTAATTTCCTCATCTCATTGCTTTCCAGTAAATTCGAGAAGCAGAAATTGCTAAAAGTATCTCGCACGGCCAGTTGAAAACTATTTACAGCAAAGAGGAAGAGCATTTGCTCTCAGTTGATTAGTTACCTGCTGTTGTTATTGTTAAAGTTCAGTGCAAGATCGGATTAGCTTACTCTTTAGATATGCTTTTAGTTGCATTGTGTTTTAACGTTTTTTAGGAGATTGAAGTATAGCTACTGATTATACTGTGTGATATTGTGAGCACCTGTACGAATATCTCTGAATCGAATTCCAGAGTTCTGTTATATTTCTTTTGATAAGAATAAATTTTATTAACCTATTATTGGGCTTGTGCATTCAATCTATCATGAACTTGTACACAAGCAACAATAGTAAAAATTTTAACATAATAAATAACTTAATGCATGGAAGATTTTACATCACCTAGCTCATTAGTACTGTTAACTGACTTTTATTAGTGTTAAGATAAAACAGATCTACAGGTAATTCTTTACAATTAAATAATAACTCAAATGGATGCAGGATGAAAATTATTTAAACGCAAAAATACTAACTCATGTGTTTGGTGATGACATTTCTGAAATCTAGAGTTAAAAAAAATATAATTGAAGGGAATCTATATTAAAAAAAAAAAAAAAAAATAGGCATTTCATAGAATGTTTAGCACAAAATAAATATGAAATATCATTCAATTTGGGTGGATTAACATATAATTTCATAAACATGGCTGTATGTAATAATCAGAAATGCTGCTGTGTACACACTACAAACAGAGGAAAAATGGACTAGCAAATGTAAAATTTAGCAAAATTATATAAGTTAGCAGATAAAATATTCTATGCACAATACAATATAATAATTTAAAATGATACCATTCAGTTTTGCTCAAAAAAGAAAATAAAAAGCTCTGTCGAAAGGCTAAATATTACTAAAACATAAAATGCTATGAGCATTTTATTAAAAATACCAACATTACTCTGGATCACATCTCAGTCAGCCTTGTATATGCTTTTTGCTAGAATGTTAGATAAAACAGAAGTCAGAATATTAAATAAAATATTAACCTAATACACGTTTTTCTAATACTTACATCAAATATATTTAAAATACAGTCTGCAAAATAATACACTTAAAAACCATTATTTAAAAACAATCAGAAGACTTCAATGTTATTACACTTCATATAAATATTGGTTATCAAAATATGTACCTCTAGATGAATTCGATTAGAACAATCTAGACGAACAGGTTTAGAGACATAGAATCGGATTTTTGGAAAATAATTTGTGCTCATAGGACAAACAAAATACTGATTCAGCACCTGAGGATTCTGAAAGAGTAAAGAAAATATATGCACAAATAGTATGAAATATACACACATATGGAAGGAGGATTCTACTGTATACTTTGTACACATTCAAAAAATACCTATGCAAAAAACAAAATATATTAATAAAATTGAATTTATAAAAAATTAGATGATATTTTAAAGTTATAACATGGTTGTTAAGCATACCTGTAATATTTGCAATATCACAAAAATAAATGCAAGAGTGCTGAATATTCATTCAGAGGAGTATTATGGATCTTCTTAATGAATGTTCTCTAGAAACTGATCTTAGTAACAGTTCACAGATGCATTATTAAAATATTTCTCATACACATGTCTCTCATATGAAAGCAGTGTCAAAAAAATGTAGAAATATTCTGAATATTTTTCCATGGACCCTTTTTTTTCCCCCTTTTCTTCTGATGAGCACCATAATATCAATTATCACTTAGTACTAATGTCAATAATTTTACGTACTCTATTTAAGAAGTATAAAATTCTTGAATTAATTTCCTTAAAAATTCCCCCATAAAATTTAAAAGCAGGCACAATGAAGACTTATCTAAAAGGAAATTTTCACTACTAACTGCAATGATTTCGTAGCATTCACTTAAAGAAAAACATCTGAAAATGTTTTTTGTTAAGCTACTGAAAAAATACTATGCTCTGATTAGAGCATTTTAATGCTGCACCATGCTTACATAATTGTTTACAAAATTTACCTCATTGATGATGAAGCAAAATTTATATTATTAACGAACAGGCAGTTTTGGTAAATAGCACAAAGCAAGCAAAACTAAGAAAAGAGAAAAAACTTTACTTAAAAGTTTTTAAAAACTGACAAATATGCTTTAGAGCGGGGGAGGGGGGTCTCAAATAAAATATGCACTGAATGCATGATATGAATACTACTGACAGCCCTCTTTTTTTAACAAAATGAAAAGCATTTAAAATAAATTTTAAAATTTGCCTGCTAATATTTATTAAAACATATAAAAACAATAATAATATCACAAAGGGCGGAGAGCTTAAATTTATATTTATTTCCCATCTCAAAATTTGGAACCTGTGATGCCTTTTGGTTAATCTTTGGATTATGATAACTTGGTGAATTTTGGCGAAAATTTGGCGACCAACCCTGCTACAGCAACTGCTATTTGTTTTGGACGCATTTTTTTCACGAGAAAAGGCACTTTTTTTTTTTTAATAACATTTTTCCACATCTGCTAGCCGAATTCGTATGCAGACTTTATGAACAAAGGCTAATATGCAAGATTTGGGGAATGGGGAAAGGAAGATGCCATTGCCGCTGGGACAGGGAAAAGTGGACGGAGCACCAGAACTTCGTCAGTGACTTTTACAGGTGTTGCTCCGCCGCACTACTGTACCCCGCTGGGCTTTTAGTTGGCCCGCATCGGATGCTAGCCTACCAAGACATTTACATAGTAATTTTACATTAATATTAGACTTACGTATTGAATATACAATTACAAAGACATAGTATACAATTATTGCAAAGAAATTAACCTATTAACAAAAGTTGGATTATGGCAGATTGAAATAACATAATTACTTCGAACATACATACAAACTTTCATTGTACATTGTACTTCATACAAACAATATATTTACATTAGTATATCTAGTTACATCGAATTAAAATAAACATCATTTTTAAGGAGCTAATTGAATTTTTTTTTTTTTTAGATTTTTTTTTTTTTTTTTTTTTTTGTGCATTTTATCATACTTAGTTGAATTACTAAGGCGAATTCTCTTATTAATACATTTCCTTTCATTTTTTTAACTTGTTACACACAAACAATGCATCAGCACTGAAGTCTTACATTATTATTTTTGTAAATTAATGTATCATAAATACAGAAAATATACATTAGAAAATCACATAATACTTACATTTACACTAATATATCTAATAGAGTCGTATATTATTTATATTATTTTTTAATTAATGATTTAATTATTACATTTTTTCCCTCATCTCCTAATACAGTCCAAATTCTTAATGTAACTATTTTATAAAAACTATTTATACCATATTTAGCCTGTTTCAGACACTTGCAATATTTCTGAAATCTTGCATTATTTTTGCAAGTTGTAGAATAAGAGGTATTTATACAGATGTGATAGCATCTTGACATATGTCTTCTCTTTTATATGCAAAAGTTTCTTCATAATCAAGGAAACCTTTTGTTGTAATTGAGGTATCGTTAGCATGCATTTAATGTACTCAGGCGTAATTTGTGACCTTCCTTTGCAGTGTAGCTCTTTTGTGAGCTGGCACTTGAAAATATAGTGTTCTGGGTCTCCCTTTTCCCCACATACGCACTTGTCTGAATCGCTCAAATTTCGTGCAAAGTAGTACGTGGGGAAAGGACCATGTCCAGATAAGAATATGTTGATGAAGAAGTTATAAGAGATTGGATCATATGTGGGTTTCTTGTAGAAGTTGAAAAGCCTTCTACCTACTTCTGCATTTTCCCATTCAGTTTGCCATTTTTTTAATGTAATTTTTTTCAACATATGTTTCACATACGATTTAGGGAATGGGACATTGATTGGAGGTAGAGATGGGTCTTGAGCTGCATTTTTAGCAAGCGCATCTGCCCTTTCATTTTGGGCTTGTCCAGCATGCGCTTTTACCCACTTTATTTTTATAGATGTTCTCTTGCGCTGTGATAATAAATCGTAGATATCTTGCACTATTGATAATTTTCTTGCATCATCGACAGCTTTAATTGCCGCTTAGCTATCACTGTAGATGGTAACATATGTTAGATGCTTTTGATGAGACCATAGAATAGCGTGTTTTATGGCTGAAAGCTCAGCTTGGAAAACGCTGTTGTTGTTCCTTAGGTGTCCTTTCCATTCTGTTGTTTCTTGTTCTGAGAGGAGTGCAAAGAACGCGCATCCTACTTTCTTCGTTTAACTTTGACCCATCTGTGTACACGACTGGAAATGAAGGTACACTGAGGGTGTCTTCTTTTGTAGATATTCTGAGTTTTGCATGTACTGCAGGGTGTCTTAGGTAAGGATTTCGTGGCTGTTCAAAATCAAGGGGGCACAGGTTTTGATCTTCTACCTCTATGTTTTTCTTGAGGTGGAATAACGTGGCTAAGTCTGCATCTTCTTTTGCTTTCAGGTGGAGGGGTGGGATTCCTGTTAATACACAGAGAGCTGCCGTTGAGGTAGTTCTGTATGCTTTTGCTATTTGTAAGAGGAAGGGGCGTTGGATCGAAGCTAAGAGTCTTTTCTTTTTCACTGTCATAGGGTGAGTCCATGCTGATGCCCCGTAGAGGATTATTTTTTCGATCACGGTATTATAGAGAATGTTTTGCATCCTCGACTTGAGGCCCCACGTTGTGCCTTGCATCCTTGCGAGGGCTCTAGAAATAGTTTGGGTCTTCTTCCGAATTTCCATGAGGTGTGGGATCCAAGAAAACTTTTGGTCAATTTTCAATCCAAGAAATTTGATTTCTTTTGAGATCTTGATTCTTCTATTATTGATTTTAATGCAAGGTAGCCTTTGTAGCGATTTGCCCGGTTTTGGAAATAAAATAATATGTGATTTGGGCTCTGAAATTATTAGTTTTTGATTGACGCAGAGGGAATGGAATATGGAGAGAGTCTCGTTACTATTCTTTTCTAGTATGTCTCTTGAATGCCCATTTGTTACAAAGGCCACATCGTCGGCAAAGGCGATGAGCTTTGTATGGTCCGGCCACTTGTAGGAGGTGATATAATTGAAGGTGATGTTCCACAGGTCTGCACTTAGACAAGAGCCCTGTGGACAGCCCCTCGTTATTCTTCTTTCTACTATACAGTTGTTGCTGATGATTATCGTTGCTCTGTTTGTTAGGAAACTATTCATTAGCTTGAATATGTTCTGAGGGCATTTAATGTTGCGCAAGGCTTCAAGGATACCAGGCCACCACACGGAGTCAAACGCATTTTTGAGATCCATGCAGAGTACTGCTGTATGGAGAGCTGAAGATTTATTCCTACGGATCTGCTCTTGAAGTTCTACTATCGCATGTGATGTAGATTTGAGAGGTCTGAAGCCGTATTGGTTGGGGCTTATGGTTTCGTTTTTCTCTAAGTGGTGGCGTAATCTGCCCGCGATTGCACGTTCCAGAAGTTTACCTATTGCAGGTAAGAGGTTGATTGGTCTGAAGGCTTCCGGATCCGTAGGATCTTTATTATTTTTCTTGAATAGTATTGTTTGTCCCTGTTTGAGACAATTCGGGAAGACATAAAATTTGAGGCAGAGGTTTAGTAGTTTGTGGAACAGAAAAGGCATTGCGTGGTGAATTATCTTAATAATCCTGTTGTCTAATCCGTCAGGTCCCGGAGCTTTATTATTCGGAAGATACTTAATAATTTTTGAAATTTCTTGTGAGTGGAATTCCACATCGTCTGGAGTATTTGGAGCGGTATTATTGTATCTAATATCGGAATGTGAGTGGCCATCGTCTTCTGCATTATCTTTTAGGAAGACAACATCTAAAATATTGTTGAGAATCTTTTCAGTGACATTACCAAGCTGGCTGTTACGTGAGAGTTGATCTCTCGAAAGACCGATATGTGCGGGACTAAAAACTTTACTTGTAGCCATTTTATACAGCTGGCCGTATGTATCTTTATTACTACAGCAGTAATTCTTCCAGCTGCGTAATTTTGCTTCAGTTATTTTCTTTTTGTAATTTGCTAATTGTTGCTTGTATTTTATCCATATTTCCATTTTCAACCCTTCCGGAGCACTTTTCATTTTTCTACGAAGGGCCTTTGTATGTTGCTTTTCACGTCTTAATTCCTTTGTCCACCAGTTAGTCTTCGTAATCTTGTTGTTGTTACGGAGTTTAAATGTGTTGGTCGCTGTCTCCTGTATTGTTTTGATAATTGTTTCCATTAAATCATGGACTGCATCGGGTGATGTGCATTTATCTATAAGTTTCTCCGCATACTGAAGACATGTGGAGATT